GGGCGAGAGTACGGGGGGCCCGGTCCCGAGCGCAGGGGCAAGTCTGTGTCCCTTGGGAATTCTGGGAGCTGCTCCGAGGGATGCGGAGGGCACGGCCCTGGGCGCTCCGTGCAGCGCTTTGTCTCTCGGAGAGGGTTTCCACGCCGGGCGTCCGTGTTTGCAGCGCACGGAATGTCGGGTTAAGCCTTTTGGTGCAGGCGGGCACGGGGTGAAAGGTAGTGCGGCCGAAACGGGAACAGGGAGTGGTAGTGGAGCATCTTTCGGATCGCTGCTTTTGGGGCACGCTGTTAACGTCCCAAAACTGATGATGAATTCAGTGTAGAATTAGCTGGGGGCAAGTGAGATTGTTGTCTGTAATAAAAGAAAAAACGGAAAAAGCAGGGTTAGCCCCAAAGCTGAGAATCGATTACATGTTTTAACTACAATCAATTACATGTTGGAACTATAAAATAACCTGTTGGAAGCAGAGGTGGGAGAAATGAGGGGGTGAGTGGCCCCGTGTTAACGTTTCTCTTTGTGCCCGTGGTGTTTTTTTTCCTGAACCTGGGAACTCTACTAGTGCTGGGGGGTTGGCAGTTGTAATAGTTGACTCTAGTTAGTGACTCTCCTCACTCAGGCAGTAAGACTGGGGGAGATCAGTGTCACAACCACTGCAAGTAAGTGGTTTCCTTTCTCATCCGTACCATTTCTATCTCATGTCCTCTCACAGTCGTTTGTCACAGTGTTTCTGCATTGTGTTGTGTCTTTCTAAGCATTGTGTCCCCTTATCTATTTAAACTTCTCTGTTTCCACCTCTTCTGCATCCCTTCTGCTTCCCTTCTGCGTCATCTTTCTACTCGAGTAACACGCCAAACTGCCCCCCCCCCGCAGTGTCAAAATTCTATTGAATCCGTCTTTGTCTCAATAAACAAGTTTTGATTCAACCAGTAACAAAGCTCTTCTTGCTATGTAAAACTTTTTTTGTGGCATACAGTGATATAATATGCTTTTTACGGTTCAGTATATGAGAAATATGGATTTTTATACTGGTTGGCTTGTCTTGTCTGTCTGGTTCATTCTGTGGAGAAAGTTTCTTCCTTCTGGCAACTGTGGATAGAACAGATCAGAGCTCCAGAGGCTGAACCCAATGAATTGTGGTATAGATTTCTTTTTTTGCCAAAACTCTTTCATCTCTACAGCGTTGAAGTTCTTTGTGCGAATCTGGAGAAGCTGTTTTGACATCTTTGAGTGGGATCTGTAGAAACTTGGAAGCCAGCCTTTCCTGAAACATTCAAACCTTCCAGAAATATAAATGCCTTTGTGTGATGTGTTTGACAGGGTTTGATTTAGAAAGGAACTTGGAGGTTAATGAATGTGAAGGTTATCTGTTCTCTGATTGTGCAGGAGACACTTGTAACACGTGCCAGATGTCAATTGGTAGTAGTTTGCCAGTTTAAAAAAGTAAAAATACTGCCTTTCTATCTTGTAGGTAATAGAGTGATATTTACCAGACGGGCTTTTATCACATGGCAAGGTACAACTCTTCTCAGGAGCTCTGTCCCCTGAGCTACTGTAATATGGAGGGTCAGACTGCAGTCTTACTTAAGGCACAAACATTTAGGTGGCAAAGTTCTTGGAAAATAATCAGGTCTTCAGGAAAGATTTAGGCAACTGCAGCTAGTCAGTTAACCTAGCTGCATAGAATTTAAAGGAATGTTGAGTGCACCTCCAAATAACACTGACCAGAGTTGTTTCTAGTAGGAAATGCCAATAAATGGTGCATTGGGAAAATGAAATTGGATTGGTAACCTAATGGTTAGAACAGTTGACTGGAACAGGACAAATACTGTTTCTGTTCCGTCCTGTCTCAGTGGTTTCAAGTGCCTGTTTTCTGTTTATCAGGAGCATGTCCTCACCACCAAGCTGAAAAAACTGTGTGTAAAAGCACCTGCATGTTTATGTTACTGCTGAGGATGGAGTGTGAGGAACAGTGCAGGAGGTTTTTTTTGCCCAGAAAACACATTTTGAGTGCTCTGGTGGGTTGACATCATTTGCCTGGACTGGTGGAAAGCATCTGATACTGTCCTTGCAACATCCTTGTCTCTAAACCAGAGAGGTGTGAATTTGATAGCCAGCCAGTTTTGGCTGGATGGTCGCACTCCAAGTATTGAGTCAACAGCTTGACCAAGTGGAGACCAGGAAGAGCAGCATTCCTCAGGGGTTGCTACTGGGACTGTCACTGTTTAACATCTATGTTGGTGACATGGACAGTGGGGCCGAGGGCACCCTCAGCAGGTTTCCTAATGACTCGGAGCTGTGCGGTGCATTTGACAGGATGGAGGGAAGGGATGTCATCCAGAAGGATCTGGACAGGCTTGAGAAGTGGGCCTGTGTGAATTTCATGAAGTTCAACAGGGGCAAGGTCCTACACCTGAGTTGGGGCAATCCCAAGCACAAATACAGGCTGGGCAGAGAATACATTGAGAGAAGCCCTGAAGAGAAGGATTTGGGAGTGTTGGTTTACAAGAAGCTCAGCGTGACCCAGGAACATGCACGGGCAGTCCAGAAAGGCAGCTGTGTCCTGGGCTGCACCCAAAGCAGTGTGGGCAGCAGGAAAAGAGAGGGGATTCTTGCCCTCTACTCTGCTCTAGTGAGACCTCACCTGCAGT